GGAGTCTTCACCGATTTTGAGGCAACCCTAACCCTAACCCTTAACCCTAACCCTTAACCCTAACCCTAACCCTTGACTGGGAGTCTTCACCGATTTTGAGGCAACCCTAACCCTAACCCTAACCCTAACCCAAACCCTAACCCTAACCCTAACCCTAACCCTAACCTTAACCCTAACCCTAACCCTAACCCTAACCCTAACCCAACCCTAACCCTAACCCAACCCTAACCCTAACCCTGACCCTGACCCTGACCCTGACCCTAACCCTAACCCTAAACCCTAAACCCTAACCCTAACCCTAACCCTAAACCCTAACCCTCATCTTAACCCTAATACTTTTGGTGTCATACCAGGATTCTGCCACAAGGCTGCAGTAGAGAGGCAATAATATTATGTGTATAGAAATACTTTGGGTGTCCTATCACTATTCATCCACAAGGTGGCAGCAGAGAGGAAACAATATGTTGTCTATAAATACTTTGGGTGTCATACCAGGATTCATCCTAACCCTAACCCCTAAAACCTAACCCTAACCCTTAAACCTAACCATCATCCTAACCCTAATACTTTGGGTGTCCTATCACTATTCATCCACAAGGTGGCAGCAGAGAGGAAACAATATGTTGTCTATAAATACTTTGGGTGTCCTATCACTATTCATCCACAAGGTGGCAGCAGAGAGGAAACAATATGTTGTCTATAAATACTTTGGGTGTCCTATCACTATTCATCCACAAGGTGGCAGCAGAGAGGAAACAATATGTTGTCTATAAATACTTTGGGTGTCCTATCACTATTCATCCACAAGGTGGCAGCAGAGAGGAAACAATATGTTGTCTATAAATACTTTGGGTGTCATACCAGGATTCATCCTAACCCTAATACTTTGGGTGTCATACCACTATTCAACCACAAGGCGACAGCAGAGAGGCAAAAATATGTTGCATATAAATACTTTGAGTTTCATACCAGGATTCATCCTAACACTAACCCTAACCCTATCCCTAACCCTAGCCCCTAACCCTAAAGCTATTTTGAATTTACTTTATTAACGCTACTCTGCTGCCGCCTTGTGGCAGAATCCTGGTATGACACCAAAAATATTTCTATAAACATATTGTTGCCTCTCTGCCCCTAACCCTAAGCCCTATCCCTAACCCTAACCCTGACCCTAAACCTAACCCTAACGCTCTGGGCATGCTCAATAATATATTGCACTTTTGCTTTGCTCTGCTGCCACCTTGTGGAGAAATACTGGTAGGACATCTACTGTATTATTATACACACATTATGAATGCTACTCTGCTGCTGCCTTGTGGCGTAATCATAGTAGGGCTCCCGCTTTTTTCGAATTCACTTTATTAACGCTACTCTGCTGCCGCCTTGTGGCGGAATCCTGGTATGACGCCCACCGTATTTATATAGACAAAATATTTTTGCTGTTAGACATGTGCACCAGCAAAAAATTTGTTTAGTTTAATTTCGTTTTGAAACAAAAAAAAATGTGTTTACTTTAGTTTCGTTTGGAAACAAATCAAAAAAATTTGTTTAGTCTAGTTTCGTTTTTCGGGTCCAAAATTAAATTAGTTTCAAACGAAATTCGTTTATGAAAAAAAAAACTTTAAACATTACTCAACCTGCCCTGGATTTGAACCTGGGACCTTAGCAATGGCAAGTCTGTCCTCTAACCACTACTCTATAGCCTCTGTACTCTAAGCAAAGATGTGTTGTGGAGGTAAAATGTTGTCATTTTTTTCCCCTAATGTCATTTTGCAGCAACGAAATTCGTGAAATAACGAATTTCGGGAAATCGGATTCGTTTGCATTCGTCTTAGCTGTAATTCGGATACATCAGAATCTCCGAAAATTCGTCCGAAACGAATTTCGGAACGAACCGAATCGCACATGTCTAGTTGCCGTTCTGCTGCCGCCTTGTGGATAAATCCTGGTATGACACCCAAGGTATTTCTATAAACATAATATCGTTGCCTCTCTGCTGCCGCACCACACCCCAAAAAAACCCTGTGAGGTCCACAGTAAAATTCCTACCAGACCCTTGACCTGAGCACTGGCCCGGCAGGGCAGGAAAGGGTGGGGCGATAGAGCGCCCCCCTCCCTGCGCCTTACCAGGCCACATGTCCTTGGCATTGGGAGTGTGTGCCCATAGGGCCTCTTCCCCACAACCCTAACCTGGTGGTTGTGGGGGTCTGCGGGCAGGGGGCTTATTTGCATTGGGGTACCCCTTTAATTAAGGGGGCACCCAGATGCCGGCCCCCCCTTGTGAATGAGTAGGGGGCACTTGTACCCCTACTCATTCACTAAAGGATTAAAAGTCAATGTAAATAAAGAAACCGCACTTTTACAAAAGAATCCTTTAATTAAAAACAGAGTCAGTTTCTGACAATTCCTTTGTTTTAAAAAAAAATCGCTCCCTAATCCAGCGTCAATCACAATGCACGACGCCCGCTGAACCACCGGGAAAAAAAAGTCCAGCCGCGCGGCGACCCATCCAAACCCCACAAGGTCTCCCCTGCAAAATGACATCACTGGCCAGAATGTAAACAGATGGGCGGGGCGAGCCGTGACGTCAAGAGGCTCGTTCAGCCCATTTGACATTCTCAGATAGAACACAATAGCATTCAGGAGCTCCGAGGTGTCGTAATACTATTCCGATATTGTGGTTGTGGTGCACCTCTCTGGGAGGGATAAATGGAAATAGCTAAGCTCCCTCTGGTGTAGCGATGGATGTAGTTGAGCCCTCTCTGGTGGTCGGGTGATTGTAGTTCAGCTCCCTCTAGTGGTCGGGTGATTGTAGTTCGGCTCCCTCTAGTGGTCAGGGGAATGTAGTTGAGCTCCCTCTGGTGTTGTGATGGATGTAGTTCAGCTCCCTCTAGTGGTCGGGTGATTGTAGTTCAGCTCCCTCTGGTGGTCGGGTGATTGTAGTTCAGCTCCCTCTAGTGGTCAGGGGAATGTAGTTCAGCTCCCTCTGGTGTTGTGATGGATGTAGTTCAGCTCCCTCTGGTGATTGTAGTTCAGCTCCCTCTAGTGGTCAGGGGAATGTAGTTCAGCTCCCTCTGGTGGTCGGGTGATTGTAGTTCAGTTCCCTCTCGTGGTCAGGGGAATGTAGTTCAGCTCCCCCTGGTGTTGTGATGGATGTAGTTCAGCTCCCTCTGGTGATTGTAGTTCAGCTCCCTCTGGTGATTGTAGTTCAGCTGCCTCAGTAAATTGCCCAGCGAAGTATTTCTTGACATTTTCCCCCATGTTTCCAGACAACTCGAACTCTCTCAGTTTGGAAAATATCTGTACTAATAATCTCTGTCCGGTACAAGATGAGAAAGGAGAGCGCTGTGTCCAGCAGCCAACCATCTACTAGCATGGAGAAGGGAAGGAGGAGGAATGGACAGCAAAGGGGAGGGCAGTAGCTCGCCTTGCTGTGTCTATGCATTGGTGGAGACACACACAGCCTACTAACACACACAAGGGTGGCTCCATAGGATCCTGCAAGGGAAAGAAGCCACCCTAAAACCCAATATAAGGGCCCGTTCTCAGAGGACCAGATGATTCTGCAGGAAGCAAAAACTTTTGAGCATCACTCAGCAGCATCCATTGTAAATGATTTCATAAGCATTTGAAATTGCTCAAAAACATTTTCACTTCTCACTCTATTTATTATTTGATACAATTGGTGAAGCTTTCCGGTGTTAGGATGAAATTAGAACATCTCTCTCTGGTATTTTATGGTGGTGGTGTGGCTGTCTGTTGTATAGTAGAGGTGGTGAAGCTCCCTCTGGTGGTGGGATAGAGGTAGTTCAGCTCCCTCTGGTGGTGGGATGGAGGTAGTTCGGCTCCGTCTGGTGATGGGATGGAGGTAGTTCGGCTGTGTCTGGTGATGGGCTGGAGGTAGTTTGGCTTCCTCTGGAGGTGGGATGGAGGTAGTTTAGCTCCCTCTGGTGGTGGGATGGAGGTAGTTCGGCTGTGTCTGGTGATGGGCTGGAGGTAGTTTGGCTTCCTCTGGAGGTGGGATGGAGGTAGTTTAGCTCCCTCTGGTGGTGGGATGGAGGTAGTTGAGCTTCCTCTGGTGTTGGGATGGAGGTAGTTCAGCTCTCTCTGGTGGTGGGATGGAGGTAGTTCGGCTCCCTGTGGCGGGATGGAGGAAGTTTGGCTCCCTCTGGTGGTGGGATGGAGGAAGTTTGGCTCCCTCTGGTGGTGGGATGGAGGTAGTTCGGCTTCCTCTGGTGTTGGGATAGAGGAAGTTTGGCTCCCTCTGGTGGTGGGATGGAGGTAGCTTGGCTTCCTCTGGTGGTGGGATGGAGGTAGTTTGGCTTCTTCTGGAGGTGGGATGGAGGAAGTTTGGTTCCCTCTGGTGGTGGGATGGAGGTAGTTTGGCTTCCTCTGGTGGTGGGATGGAGGAAGTTTGGCTTCCTCTGGAGGTGGGATGGAGGAAGTTTGGCTCCCTCTGGTGGTGGGATGGAGGTAGTTTGGCTTCCTCTGGAGGTGGGATGGAGGAAGTTTGGCTCCCTCTGGTGGTGGGATGGAGGTAGTTTGGCTTCCTCTGGTGTTGGGATGGAGGTAGTTTGGCTTCCTCTGGTGTTGGGATGGAGGTAGTTCGGCTTCCTCTGGTGTTGGGATGGAGGTAGTTCAGCTCCCTGTGGTGGGACGGCAGTAGTTCAGCTCCCTGTGGTGGGATGGAGGTAGTTTTACTCCCTCTGGAGGTGGGATGGAGGTAGTTTTACTCCCTCTGGAGGTGGGATGGAGCTAGTTTTACTCCCTCTGGAGGTGGGATGGACGTAGTTTGGTTCCCTCTGTTGGTCGTATTTCGGGAATGCATAAGAAAGAAACTCGGAAGCATGAGAATCTGATAGGCATGCGCAGAAAGAATTGTTGCGGTAGGAAAGTGCTGGCGGACGTGACGTCAGATTTATCTGGTACTGGCGGAAGTGACGTCAGTTGTATGTGGTACTGGCGGAAGTTAGTGATAGGATAGGGAAGTGTCCGGTGTGGCGGCGGAGGATGGAGGAGGGGAGTCTGGAGGCTCGGATCAGTGAGTGTGGGAACCGGATACCGAAGGGGGGTGGGGATGTGTCTTTGTGCAGGTTTACTGAGGTCTGTATAACTTCCTCTCCGTGTGACGTCACTTCTAGGCTGATGTCACGAGTTGCTGTCAGGGTGGGACAGCAAAGTGTATAATGTGATCATGTCTGTGTGCAGCTTCAACCAGAATCTTCTCACAAACTATTCACTTCCCAGAGCGACAGGATCCTAAATGTGTCAGGAGAAAACTGATCTG